AAATGTGTCTTAAGCACGTTTGGGCTGTTGACGTTGCATTTACACCATTTTGATCAGCAGGTTTCGCCAGAGCGCGATGTTTCGAGGTTTTCGAAATGGAATCATTTTGCGAAGCAATTGGTTCAATTGATTCAGAGTTTGAAAAGCTTTGTTTTTTGCATCAGTCATGAGAACATTTCCTAAATATTAGTTATTCAACTCTTTAACATGATTTCTTATCTAAAAAAAAATCGATGAGACTTTAAATAAAAAAAAACGTTATTGGGAAACAATTTATATTTGTATCTATGTCTACGATATTCACCAAATAAAATTATTAGCTTCAAAATAACTTCAAAGAACCACATCTTTTCAACAACAGCCAGTCACGTGACGTAGTGACGTCGTTACCGGAAGTAGCCTCGTTCTGGCCGTCAGGGCAACACCTAGAAAAAACACATCCCCGACGACGCGCCTCAAGCCCGTAATATGGGCGAATTTTAACACTAAAACACAACTCGATCTGGCACCTTACCCCTTAACACTACACGAGGAATCCGTTGGGTTGTGATTTAGCTCGTTTTAACGGTCGTTTGAGCCATGTCTCGGGGCGCGCTGCAGCCGAGCCAGCAGAAGCTGGCGGAGAAACTGACGATCCTCAACGACCGCGGCATCGGGATGCTCACGCGCATCTACAACATCAAGAAGGTGAGAATAAGCGCTTCATGCATGTGTGTTTCAGAGAACTGCAGTAGACGCACACATATATACACACACGGGGTTGATAAGGCCAGGCCCTGATTGAGTGTGTGTGTGTGTGTGTGTGTGTGTGTGTGTGTGTGTGTGTGTGTGCGCGCGCGCGCGCGCGAGATACAGCCATAAATCAATGTACCGGCTCGTTTTGAATGAGATTTAGTTCAGGTTAGTGAATCTCCAGCCAAAACGAGTCGATCTAATGCATATTAGTAATGATTCTTTTAATGGTGAGGTGAGGATGGCTAATGTCCTAGTTTTACCCCACCTACGATCATAAAGCAAGATACCATGCTATGTATGTATCTATGTACTGGCACTGTCTATTCAGGGCTAAGTGCACAAAGCCATGATTGAGAAGGCCTGTGAATATTGTGTGTCCAGACTAGAACCTCACCGTGACCCAGCTTTTAAAGCACTTATAATGACCCATCTATAAAGGCGGATCATCCAATCCAGACATCTCCGCTCTGAAAGCGTGAGTTTCTACAAAGATCTAATTGTGGGTAGTTGCCTGACAGTGCTGGATAAATTGAATCTTTCTGTTTGATATGACAGTGGGTGTGTTGAAAACAGCACACCAAGCCCTTTCACTCCTTCAGCTGTCATACCTGAAGTCCAGAGCATGTCTGACAGATGTGAGATCTGTAGGGTTCTGAAGCGGGTCTGATGGTGGTTTGGCAGTCGTGTTCTGCAGTATTACTATTTTTATCAATTCCTTTTGATATTGAAGAGTGATTTTAATTGTAAAAGTAATTGTTTGATTTTGCTGAGCTGTAATAAGAAATCATTGATCTGTGATTTAAGAATCAGAGGCATTATGGGTTGGGATTATGGGATATTAAACATATTTGGCTGAATATCATAGAAACACCAACATGTCTGGGTCATATTTCACCACAAAATCAAAAGATATTTTGCTAAAGTGAATTGCATTGACATTATATTCATGGCAGTTAAGCACATTTTCCCTGCAAATTCTCATTATTTTAATGCAAGAATAAATATTTTTTCTTATATGTATATATATATATATATATATATGTATGTGTGTGTGTGTGTGTGTGTGTGTATATATATATATATATATATATATATAGTTTGAAGTATACTTAATGATAGCATTTGTTTCAATGCTTTATTGCTTTTTAAATTTTTTTTATTATTATACAAGTTATTTTTGTGAAACCGTGCCATAAATAGGTTAGAAATCAAGTGACAGGCAATTTGTCTGTCCACACTAAACAAATAAAATGACATCAAAATAAAATTCTTAAAATTAAAGGGTTAGTTCACCCAAAAATGAAAATTACCCCATGATTTACTTACCCTCAAGCCATACTATATGTATATGACTTTCTTTGGTGAATACAATCGAAGTTATATTAAAAAACATCCTGGCTCTTCAAGCTTTATAATGAGAGTGGATGGTAGCCCAAAATTTGAAGTCCGAAAAATTTAACCAATCCACTATAAAAGAAGTTAATAAAGGCCTTCTGAAGCAATGTGATGCGTTTAAGAAAAATAACCATATTTACAACTTTATAAACCTTAATTGCTAACTGTCGTACGCGCGTTCACGAGAGAGTGGCGTCCAGCGGATGACGTAAGCGTAAACTCTGGTGAGAATATGCTAGTCTCAAGTTTTGTTTACATCAAAGGAAAACCAGTGTCCTATTGGCTTATATTAGGCTTGTTTGAGATGTGCCTCGCCTCGCCTGAAATGAAGGCGAGAGTAGGCGGCTGCAGTGAGGGGAGGAGTGAAATTAGTGCAGGCAAGACGGACAGTTCTGACCTCTCGAAGCACAACAGATACCTACGAGATCAAATGCGGATACCGCGTTATTCTCACTCATGCGCTGTGTTGCTGATTAACATGATACAATTTCAGTTCTGTTGTATCTGTTAAAAATGCTGATAATAAATTTTGACATATGTCATGACTCATGTCTGATAATCAGACAGACTGATTCTGATAATCTGAAAAAGGCCAAATTGTAAACTGGCCTCAAAAAATGTAACCGTAATTTTCCTCCAGGACATTATCCATTAATTTTACGGACATTTATTTTAACCCTAAAACACAATGAAGTGCAAAATTTAAAATACAGATAAAACTACATATTTATTAATATAAAAATATTATATTAATATTAATATTTTCCCTCGTATTAATTAATATGCACAGTCTGCCCTATTTTTTTTTAAATGTTTTGTTTTTACTTTTTTTTTTAACAGTGCACAAAGGTGAATTTGGTAGGAAAGTGCTTCAGTGTCATGAAGTAACATTATTTTTATGTTGTTGTATCTGTTATATCCCCTTAATGTTGTTGAAATGTGAGCTGGACATATTTTCATAAGATTCCCTCAGCAGTCAGGGGCTTGAAATATCTTGAATCATGCAAACATCACACACAAATTAAAGCCTGTCGGTTCTAGTCTGCATGTTCAAATAATTGTTTTTCTTTCCCTTGGCCAATAAAGCCACTTTCTCAGGTTTTTGAGAAAGGCTTGGCATTGAGGCTAGCAGTAATGGAAGCAGTCCAGATCACAGCAGAAAGTGGGCTAGTGGAGGACCAGCGCTGTTAGCATTTTCCTCCCTCTGGCCGTGAACTCACTCAGATATGTGATGTGAATTCATTAGTGTGTGTGATGCCCGTTTAGAGCGCAGGAAGGTCTCTGGAGTGCCGCCTGTCTCTCCATGTCCACTGATGTCACTCGTGTACATCTGACCTCATTCATTCAAACAAGTCATCGGGGGTCAACCCAATATTAGTCATATTCTGTCGTTCTTCTGTACTCCCATGCACCATATCCATTCCGAATACAGCACTGTGGGAAACTTGACCGAACCAGTTCAGTGTTATTGCCCATTATTTCATATTGTATTTTTTTCTGTCAAATTTAGTTGAAAAATAGCTTTTCCACAGGACTAGAAATTAGAATACATGCTTTTGGTAGTCCTGTTGCCTAGCAACTGGCAGGCATTGCATTGAGTGCTGTAAGATCTACGTTGCATTGTGGTGGATACAGAGGGAGTTACAATTTTAGATGTTCTTTTGATTCTGAATTCATGACACTCACATTTTTATTCTTGCTATTTTTGCTTTGTAACGGCTACTATCTAAACCAAAAGAATATGACGTTTGTTTTTTTTGTACAAGTTTGTACCTTAAATGGGCATAATCACCTCTTATCTTGCTTGTGCAGTTTAAGCTGATAACTGTTTTAAACACGACTTGAGCTGAATTCTGTTGGAATTTGTTAAATTTAGCATATAGGTTGGTAGCAAAACTGTGCCACGGGAAATGACAGCAGAATCCTTCCACGGAAACAACCTCAGGAAGTGCGTTCTTATCTCGCAGTGTGTTTAGCTCGACATGAAATCCTTAGAGACCCCTTTTCCACCAACAGAATGCTGGTGCCAAAGCCAGTGCCCAAAAGTGGAACCATTCTGAGATGAGTTTCCTGTACAATGATAAAACTCGTTCATCAAATGGGTTGTAGTTCACCAAAAAATTCAAATACTTCCATCATTTACTTATCCTCAAGTTGTTCCAAACCTGTATACATTTCTTTCAGTTGTTGAATGCAAAAAATGTTTTGAAGAAAGTTGCATTCTTCAAAATATCCTCTTTTGTGTTAAACAGAAGAACGTCATACAGGTGTGGAACAAGTGGAGGGTGAGCTATGAGCTATATTAAATGGGTGAACTATCCATTTAAATTAGCATCTTTCCCCCACTATGCAATTTTTTCCAAATGAAAATGGCATCTGATGACTATTTTTGTGTTCCCTGTCATTTTGCTTTATTTGATGTTTGATTCATCACGGGTTCCTTCGTACATCATACAGTGTTCCCTTATGAATTTTTATGCACATGCACACTCTTCAAAAACAGCACTGATTGTTGAAACTACAATAAAATATTATAATGATTAAATGGAATGAAAGATAGAATATTAGCTTGCTTGTTGTGTATTCTTGCTTGTCTGATTCAAATCAACTGACTCAAATCAACAAAAGCAACTCAAAATAACCCTGTTACATTGCCTTATGTGTGGCTGTTTTGGCACCAACATCATTTTGGTGGAAAAGGTTTAAGAGACAATAGAAACTGTTCTGTGCAGAAGATTCAGAACATAGGAAAAATGAATTATTCTTTCAAGAGCTACACCTCTTGGAGTAATAGTTAAACTGAGTTCAAAAGAACAAGCACATGTATAGGCTTTTCACACTGCGCTTAACCCCGGGTTATCATTGTTCTAAACACCGCTTTTTTTTGTTCTAAACACCGCTTTACCCTGGGTAAAGAAACGTTTCACACCTGTAATTTGAAAGCGGTGTTAGCACTGCTTTTTACCCGGGGTTATGAAACCCTGCTCCAGAACAGTGCGGTATTAACATCGCATTGCAGTGCTAAGTTTGTTCAGTGTGAAACGGAGCAGTGTTTGCTTGTTGCTGCTGGACGCTTGGCAACAGACAGCCAATCAGAAATTGAGCAGCGAGGCTCATGTCACGTCAGTAACAGGAAACGTGCGTCGTGTAAACAGCAGCCGGTGAGAGAAATTAAAGAAATGTCAAAAGACGGAAAGCGTGTAATCAGGTTGCCTGCTGTTCGTCCAGTCAGAGACCGTGACACCGCAAATAAGCACGTTAACCCGGTGTTTTGGAATATACAGTGTGAAATAGGGCTGTGCGATTAATCGAAATCGTCATAAAATCGCGATTTGAGCATGCGCGATTTCTAAATCGCTTTATAGCAACGATTTTCCACGCCCCCGGCCTCCTGGCAGTATGCTATCCGAAACAATCAGAATGCAGCGCACCTAAATGGAGCAAGAGAACAGAACAGACCGGGCAGGGATACAAACGTAACGCCAGGTTCACACACTCTCCGTCTGTGGTGCGTATTTTGTCCGCGCCCATGTTAACGGATCAGAGCGTTCACACCACACGTGATTGCGGTCCGGCAGTGCGCTCCAGGAGCGGTGCGTCTGCAGCAGTCATGCTGCGATCGTTTCCACACGGAGTCCAGTGCTGAATTAAAGTGGCAGCGCATTATTCGTGGTAAAAATTAACATGGATTGACACGGAAATTTAGTAATTACACCATAAATGCATATAATTAAAGTCTACTGTTTCACTGTCAACAGTCAACACATGGCTTTTTGGCTAGATTTAAAACAAGGAGAAGTGCACTTTTAGATAAACAAGGCAATAATATGTGGTACTCGTGGTGGTAGTTAAACAAAGTTATATTTATTGAGTTTAAACGTGAATATGTCTGTGAAATATTGTATTACTGTACTGTGATAAAAGAGAATCGCAATGCTGAAAAAGCATTTTCAGAAACAACGTTTGGATTTGAAATCAAAATAATGGATAAATGTTGTGAAAGCGTGTAATCAGGTTGCCTGCTGTTCGTCCAGTCAGAGACCGTGACACCGCAAATAAGCACGTTAACCCGGTGTTTTGGAATATACAGTGTGAAATAGGGCTGTGCGATTAATCGAAATCGTCATAAAATCGCGATTTGAGCATGCGCGATTTCTAAATCGCTTTATAGCAACGATTTTCCACGCCCCCGGCCTCCTGGCAGTATGCTATCCGAAACAATCAGAATGCAGCGCACCTAAATGGAGCAAGAGAACAGAACAGACCGGGCAGGGATACAAACGTAACGCCAGGTTCACACACTCTCCGTCTGTGGTGCGTATTTTGTCCGTGCCCATGTTAACGGATCAGAGCGTTCACACCACACGTGATTGCGGTCCGGCAGTGCGCTCCAGGAGCGGTGCGTCTGCAGCAGTCATGCTGCGATCGTTTCCACACGGAGTCCAGTGCTGAATTAAAGTGGCAGCGCATTATTCGTGGTAAAAATTAACATGGATTGACACGGAAATTTAGTAATTACACCATAAATGCATATAATTAAAGTCTACTGTTTCACTGTCAACAGTCAACACATGGCTTTTTGGCTAGATTTAAAACAAGGAGAAGTGCACTTTTAGATAAACAAGGCAATAATATGTGGTACTCGTGGTGGTAGTTAAACAAAGTTATATTTATTGAGTTTAAACGTGAATATGTCTGTGAAATATTGTATTACTGTACTGTGATAAAAGAGAATCGCAATGCTGAAAAAGCATTTTCAGAAACAACGTTTGGATTTGAAATCAAAATAATGGATAAATGTTGTGTTTGTGGTAAACAGCCGCGGATCAGGAGCGGACTGCAAACGCGTCCTGTGCGAAAGTAAAATGAGTATACACATACTGTATACGCACTGCAGACGGAGTACGTGTGAACTTGGCGCAGCAAATCTAGTTCAACATCTGAGACAACGCCACAAAGAGCTCTATGACCAATGCCATGGCAAAAAAAAAAATCCCTGGACACGGGATTATTATATATTTTTTTCCTGACAAATGTCTATTCTAGAGACATTTTGTTACACCTTTACTTAGTGATTATTTTGCCTTATGTCTGTTCTAGAGACACGTTACAGTTTTTTGATAAAGCTCTAATTGGTTTTCTTTTGGAAATGTGTTTCAAATTCACACTGAATGCATTAATGACTGTAAAGCATGTCTGTGTGTGTCAAAATCGGGATTAAAATCGAAATCGCAACTCTATGACCAATGCCATGGCAAAAAAAAAATCCCTGGACACGGGATTATTATATATTTTTTTCCTGACAAATGTCTGTTCTAGAGACACGTTACAGTTTTTTGATAAAGCTCTAACTGGTTTTCTTTTGGAAATGTGTTTCAAATTCACACTGAATGCATTAATGACTGTAAAGCATGTCTGTGTGTGTCAAAATCGGGATTAAAATCGAAATCGCAATATTGATCAAAGAAATCACGATAGTGTTTTTTTGTCCATATCGCACAGCCCTAGCGTGAAACCTCTGTTAATGAATACCCAGGATTAACATTTAACCCCAGGTATAGTATGAGCAGTGTGAAACGTGATTACAGATAACCCAGGATTCCGTTTATCCGGGGTTTAGGATGACCCAGGGTTAACAATTTCAAGTGTGAAAAGCCCTTTAGTGCACTACTTGATGTAGCATCTAGTACACTTACCTGCTTGACCAGAATAGATTCAGTCTGAGATCAATGACAGTTCATTGTAATTGGCCCTTCGGTATTATTCTGTGCATGAGATGCTTTGATGCATTGGATAAAGCAGATAATAATGACATTTTTTGTTTGCTTGTCTGTTTTGTTTGTTTGCTCGCTCTATCCTTGCAGTGTGTTTCTGTTCGTCATTCTTTAATTTCAGATCTGATTTCAGTCATTTTGTGAACATGTTGACCTTGGTTCCCTTTTACTTGCATGGATTATGTTTCTTTGACTAATCACCAACTTCCTGGTCTTTTCTTGAAAATGGACGTGAATTCTGAACTCAGCCCACAGTGATCCTGCTCCCGGAGGAGTGAATTCTGCATGGTGTCAATGTTAGCTCTGGGAACGACTGCCTCTCAATGCACTGTGTGACCCAACTGACCCCTTGCGTCCCTCCTTAGGACCCGAACCAACACACTAACCGGAACGACTTACAATTAGTTCCCAAAGCTAATTTGTTTTGAAGTGAACATGCATGGTAGACGTTGGAACCTGTGTTTATGTGTAATTTTCTCTCTTTCTGTTACAATGCTTCCCCCAGCAAGGACAAGTTTGGAAGGTTTGCACAGCTTTTCACCTTCCTAAAATCTCAGTCTCCCCCTTCCCCCCGCTCTCCTACCAGTTTCATGTCCCATGATCTTTCTGTACGCAACTCACAAAAAAAGGCCCTTCCCAAACTGTAGCACCTGCAGGAGTCTTCTCTTTCAAACCGATTTATTTCTATTTCTTTAGCGAAGTGAGTTTCGTTTTGATTGTTGTTTTGCGATCCTAAACTTATGCCCGGTCTTACAGATGTTGAAAGCTGGGCGATATAGCTTAAACAATTTCTCAATTATATCTCAATATTTTTGCTGCATTTTGACAATGTCTATTAATGCATGTGCTCTAAAATGGTTTACTTATTTTTATGTTTTAATATATATAAAGGAGTTATCTTTTCAACAGCTATTTTTACTTCATTGATTCAAAATGTTTAGTAAAATACAATTCTTTCATGTTAAAATTCTAAGCTAAAGCAAAAATCAATAGTTTTTGTCAACATCTAATCAATTAATGTTTATCCATATTTTATACTGTACATTATACATTTGTGATGCCTAAATTTCATTCAGCATAATAATGTACGATATGAAATATGATTAAATGTACACTTTTAGATGATTGCTCCTAAAATGTTAATTATTTACTGTTATCTACCACTTTCCATTTAAGTTAGCACTATATGACAAAAGTAAAGATAGTAAATATAGGCCGATCCACTAATATCGCCCAGCCAAATATATGTAACTACAAACCTTTGCTTACATTTGTTGGGGTAATATTATTAATGCATGAGGCTTATTTTTCTTCTATTTTCTATTTTTCCATTATTTGTTTGTTTTATTTTTACCATCCTCTTTATTTTCACCAAGTTTGCTTTAACTGCAAAGCACCAGTTGGATGTCACTACGATAAAGAACAAGGAAGAACAGAACCAGCCGTTTTTGAGGCGTAGTGTAGAGTCTCTGTGGGTTTATTTATTTACTCCGCTGTGGTAAATTATTAACAGTGGGCATGGGAGTAATTTAGCTAATGTAAATTTAATGTTAGTGGGTTTCACTCTGTTACCCTGAGCTAACTGCCGGTTTGCATTATTTCCAGGGCCTGCGTGTAACCCCCGTCAGTTTGCTAGCCATGCGGTGTCTTTTTTTTGGGAACGACCTAATGGGCTTTGTAAAAAACATGTTGTCTTACAGCACCCAGAGCCTCTGTGTGTTGCCATGCACACTGGAAATGGTCTTGAGGTTCGATGCTGCGTTAGCCATAGGTGCATGTAAAGCATCATGTAACGTGTCATGTGACCATACACACTGCCCTGCCTCAGCTGCACGTCCACTGGCGCGTTCCAGCTCCTTCACTCTGTAAGACACTCACCTCTTACAGAACAGCCAGCCAATCAGACACACTGTCCAGCAAACCCACCATCTCTCTGTTGCTCTCTCTTTCTCTCCAGGACTGTTTCTGATCATACACTGCTGTCTGTGTTCCACTAACTGCTCTCCAACTTCTCACGCAGCACCTTGTTCGTTTGAAGAGCATTTTCAATTCTGTCCTCTCTCTTTTCCTCTTTTCCTTTTTATCTGTCCTTCCATTAGGGTTGGGAATCCAGAACGTTAACATTTAAAAACAAAACTGGAACAATGTACTAAAATACTTTTGTGTTTGCATTCTTAATTGATTGTGACACTGTGCTCAACAAAATAATGAGATAAAAATGTATTTATTACTTCATACATATTGGTTGTAGTTCGATTCCCAAGCGAATTACTCTTTTAAACCTATTGTATTTGGTTAAATGAGTCAAAAATATGTATATATATCTAATATTTTTACAAAGTATATTTGGTATATAGTACACTATAGTTTGAATCAATTATTTTGTGCTTCCTAAAGGGTTCTAAAAATCATTATGACCATTAAATTCTCTTTGATTCCCATTCCTACTTTCCATTTTATCTGTCCTTCTTTCTCTTTTAATCTCTATTTTCAGTCTCAACATTCTGGCTCTCTTATTTATTTCTTCCACTGCATTTTCTAACTGTGATCATAAAAACAAAACTGGAACAATGTACTAAAATACTTTTGTGTTTGCATTCTTAATTGATTGTGACACTGTGCTCAACAAAATAATGAGATAAAAATTTATTTATTACTTCATACATATTGGTTGTAGTTCGATTCCCAAGCGAATTACTCTTTTAAACCTATTGTATTTGGTTAAATGAGTCAAAAATATGTATATATATCTAATATTTTTACAAAGTATATTTGGTATATAGTACACTATAGTTTGAATCAATTATTTTGTGCTTCCTAAAGGGTTCTAAAAATCATTATGACCATTAAATTCTCTTTGATTCCCATTCCTACTTTCCATTTTATCTGTCCTTCTTTCTCTTTTAATCTCTATTTTCAGTCTCAACATTCTGGCTCTCTTATTTATTTCTTCCACTGCATTTTCTAACTGTGATCAAATCCCTGCACTTTACCACACTGTTCATCTTCTCTGATCTGTCTCTGAACAGTTTGAATCTTTGTTTCATGATCAGTGGAATATCAGTCAGTTTTCTGCCCATGTTCACAGTGGTCCTGTTCAAGCTGTTGCACGTTTAGCAGTGATGTTTTTCCCTGTTCGTTGTAGGCCTGTGGAGATCCCAAGGCAAAGCCTTCTTACCTGATTGACAAAAACCTGGAGTCAGCTGTGAAATTCATCGTCAGAAAATTCCCGGCCATCGAGACACGCAACAACAACGTAAGTTTCATTTTATGAATCAAGTATGCTTTAGTGAATGTTATTATGTTGATGTTAGTATATTTTTTTACCCATGTATTAGATTAGAATTACAATCGATGTTTAATGTATTATAGGTGTTTTTATAAAACCTCTTACAGATACTTTAATCAGTCAATTAAAGTGATGAAAATATTTATAATCCATTGCTAATTGACATAGCCTTTTTACCATATGCTTTTTACAGCATAGAACGGTATCTACCTGCTGCCATCAGAGCAAGTGTAATTGCTGCATTCATGCATTCCTCAGATGCTCTCATTTCCCAAGTTGTGCTTTTAAGTCGAAATGTGAAAACAACATGGACACTCGCGTTACTACAAAGATGTGTTGGATTTGTATTATTAGAGCTTTCCGACTTGCGTTCGTGCATTTTCTCAGTCGGGAAATTATTGCGGTGCCGGTGATCCTTACGTCCTTTTCGGAGAACCAGAGAAGAAATATTTCAATCGAGCGCTGTAGCATTGGTGGCACCGAAATCTGCGTTCTGATTCAGTTCTTGTACATACCGGTTACATAGGTACCCAACCCTAAATTCTGCACATTTCCAGCATTTGGAAATGCAAAATAGCCAAAATAGGCTTTGGATTTTCTTTAAAACTAGACCACAAAAAAGTTTCCTTAAAAACAAATGTCCTAAATTGGAAGCACCCGATTGGGGTGTCTTTATGCACATTCACTTGATGGACACTCCTTATTTTCTCCATTTGTTCATGAGTGAAATTTTATTTACAAAAAAACGTGTGAGAATTGATTGCTAAGAAATTTGTTTTTATATTTACATTTACTGATGCTACATAAAAGCAATATGTAAAGACAGATCAGATACCTCATTCGACTGCCAAGTAAATGGAGATTCGCCCTAAATTCTATCCAAGCACAAGCTCTGGAATGTCCATTTTAGAGGAAAACGGGTAAAGAATTAAGTGGCTTATGAATTTTTATTCATAAGCCACAAAGGAAAGGTGATTTTGGGAAAACAGAGGAAAATCATCACCATCATGACATCCAGGATCTGCCTTAATTTATTTAATGGATTGTCTCATAACAATTTAAGAAACTATTTTTTTCATATGTGCTATAAAATATGATTTTTATATTCATTCTATGTCTCAAGTGTGTTTTGTGTTCATTTTATTTTTTTCATTTTGGTCCCTTCGTAATAACCAACCACCATGTCCGTTTGAAGTGTTGTATATTTCAGATGCCGCTTTGCCTTCTACTTTGTGTTTAAGATGTTTAACTGCTTCTCGCAAAGATGTGGAGCTGTTTCATGTTTAACTGTGTTTGAGTTGCCTTTTAGTGTTGTTTTACATTTCCTTTTTTGTGTTTTTTTTTTTTGTTGCATTTTTTGCATGCTTAACATGACTATTTTCTGGATTATACTTTTGGTAAGTTTGGACTCCGTGTGGAGTCCCATTTGATTTATTTAGTTCCTGCTCTTATGTATATGTAGTTTAACATTTCAGTGGTACTCACATTTATATGTCGGTATTTCAGTATCCTACATGAACAAAAGGAATCTCAGATGGGTCCTTTAAATAACTTAAACGTTTTGAATGATAAAACATAAACACAATAAACACTTGACTGCGACAATGTATAGTTTGTCTGTGTTATTCAAGCCATCTTTGTTATTTCCATCATAATTAAGTATATTTATAATCCATTGCTAATTGACATAGCCTTTTTACCATATGCTTTAATGTAATGTTTTACTACTGATTGGGATGTGCTCTGAGCTTCCTTTGAGTCTCTTACTGCATGGTTACATGCTTTCCTCAATATATTTATCCACTCTATTCAAAACAAGTTTGAAATTAGTTTTAGCCCATTGTGCACAGCATCACATAGTTTTGCCCCGACACACTTTATTCTGAAAAGAGTGGAGATGGAGATAAGCAAACTTTTTAATCTTCAAACTATGCCACGTGTAACTTTGATGTATCCAGGTCATATTTTACCCCAGAATACAATGACAGAGAGAGAGAAGGGGAAAAAAAAGTGTATATATATATATATAATTTTTTTTATCTAATTAATTACATGCTGTGGCGATTAATCTAATTCATCTCAAAATAAATTTAGCTTTGGAAATACCCACAAAAGATAATTTAAAGCTATGATTGTGTAATGGGAAAATTATCAAGTAGACATTACAAATAGTAGCTTTAGAAATAAATGTATTTGATTCAACATTAGGGCTGCACGATTAATCAAAATTAAATCGCAAAGGTGATAAATGGCAATTAGGCAGAAGCTGTGATTGTCATGCGTATCTTTCAGTGAAGCACGGTTCTGTGATCAGTAGTAATCTCCATCCGAAGGCCAGAGGGCGCTCTCACACTAAAACTCCAAATAGGCCCCGCAGAAGAAATCCAGGAAATCCCTATAGCGGTTGCTGAATAAACAGAAGATTTAACTGCTTTCATTGATTCAACGTGACTAATAAACACACGACTACGACAATATATGGTTTAGCTGAGTGCGTCTTATTATAATTTTTATTATAATAAAGTAAATAATAATGCAATACTAATCGACATAGCCTTTATCACGGCTTAGAATATTATGAAATATGTTGCGTGCCTTATTCTGTGTAAGAAGCCACATCATCTCACAGAAGGATTTACTTCAAACACTCGACTGACGTTATGAAGTGACTTTGCAGTAAAAATGTTAAGTGTGGTATTTTATTTTCACATGCTTTCAGATGGAACAGCATTTACTACACAGAGCCGTAGTTCACTGACGAGCTACGCAAACAGCTTTCATAAACGCAGAACGATATCTTTGATTTTATTATTGCGCTATTATATCATCTGCGATTATGAATGCGATTTTGCGTAGCTTGTCAGTAAACTACGGCTCTTTGTAGTAAATGCTGCTCCATCTGAAAGCATGTGATGGAGATTTACTACTGATCACAGAACTGACTTTACTGACAAGATGCGCATGACAATCGCATTTGATTAATCGTGCAGCCCTATTCAACATAAAATTTGCTATACATAAACGTTTAGGCTACAACAGTCTAACATAAACTATGGAACATACTGTAAAAGAAGATCATTTGAGAAACATCTCATAAGTACAATTTACCCTGATCATCCAATTTAAAACGTTTACACCCCCCGTTTCTTAATGCATTGTGTGGCCTTCTTGAGTATCAGTACATTTTCACCTTTTGTAATAGTTATGCACGAGTCCCTCAATTGTCCTCAGTGTTAAAAGATGGATTTCAAAATCATACTGTCAATGTTGGAAAGGGTTCAAATGTGCAGATGCTGCGGGAAAACCAAATAATGTGCAGGAGCTGGAGGATTTTTCTGAAGAACTGCAGGCTGTTGAACAGCTCAGGACAAGCAAGGGACTCGTGAATAACTATCACAAAATATAAAAACAGTTGTGGATCATTCAGGAAATTACACACAGTATTAAGTTTCAAGGGTATGTACACTTTTGAATGGGGTCATTTTTATAAATTCAGTTATTATTTTGTTTTGTGGAGTATATGTAAATGTCTGTTATGTAAAATAGCTTATTCATGACAGTACTAAATAAAAAATAACATGCAATTTCCATGATCCCTCTTATTTTGTTTCAATTATTAACATTTTGCACATTCTGCAAAACTTGTAAACTTATGAGCACAACTAGTTTTCTTGATATTTATTATTGTAGTAAAATTAACATACAAAAATGAAAAATGGTAAAAGTAACATTAAATAATGGTAATATAGAAATTTAAATGAAAAAGCTAATTTCCATTCTAATGATCATTTGCTCAAAAATGTGACTACTTGTATTGGAAAATTTCAACTCCAATACTAAATCAACTTCAAGTCCTAAAAAATAGGCTTCATTTTCTTTATGGAAAATGTAATTCTATATATTGTTTTATCTTTTTGATTTAGGAGTGAAATGTGACCGGAACATGTTTGTTTGTTTGTTTTAAGATTAACCCTTAAGCGGTTCCAGGTCTTTCCGTTTATCACAGTTTCATCTCCCTCTCTGCTGTTTTTATCATCTCTACCTCAAATAGGTTTACAGTATTTAAATACCGGACGCATTTTATATTTAACCTTATAATCTTATGGGATTATATGCTTCATTAGGATAGGATCTGAATATATTTCCAGTAAAAGTATGCAGGGTGGGGATGGTGTGGTTTGATGGACTTTGTGTCTTCTGTCTTAAACATAGTTTCTCTGATATTGGGCTTTATGGGTATCTGAGGTGCATCATTAACTCTATTAGCTCTAACCTGGTTTTCTGGAAATCCTGATAGATACTAAGTATTCTGTCTTGATTCTAGAGCATATTTGCACTGCTCTTCACTCTGGAGGAGACTGCTGAAATGACAAAAGTCTTTGCAAATCATGCAGCTTTTCATTTTTTAAGATGTTTGAATTGAGTTGTAACTCTTTGAAATAATATGACATTATCCAAACATCACTAAAATACAATGACATTAGCAGGACATCATAGAATATAGATGTGCATGTCTAAAATGAGGTCAGAATACTCATGTTATTTTGAGTACCTTCCCAGGTGCAGTGGTAATGCATTTTTGCTCTAGAGTTGCAAATACCATAAAGACAACCAATGGGTAAAGGCCTGTGCGTGTCAGGACTTGATGCAGGGTTCATTCACTAGTTTCACTGTCAAAAATTAAATCTGAGAAATGCTGTCTTTGAAAGGGCTCAACAATAAGGATGTACAAGAGGGTTGTACTTGCCCTGTCAGTATTTCATTGAGTCTGCCACATAAATAAGTAGTTTTGTATGTTGACATTTTCTGTTATGTATTCATATGTGTTTATACAGCGTATTTTTTCATTACATTCAGTGTAACTTCATGACAAGTATATATTTATAAACAAAAGTGTGCCAGAAAACAATGGCATACGCAGCAGATATTACACTATCACAAGTAATTATCTTAGTTTCAACAGATTCTCATCATTATAGGATCTCTTTAATTCACAGCAGCAGTGTTCAGTGCATCACAAAAACCCAAATGTTGAAGTCTGCCCTGCAAGTCTTAAAATAGATGTAGATCAGTAAACATAAGTGACAATGCAGAACTGTCCTAAAAGCACATGTAACCGTTCTCGTCAAATGTTCTGAAACTCTCTCACATCCTTTATTGTTGAACCTTGCTCTGAGACCGAGAATCCAGCAGGTTGAGATCTGTGTGGATTTTTCAGTTCAAATGATCTAATGTGAGCCCTGCTGATAAGTTTCCTGGTCAGATATTACAATTATGTGACTTTGTTTAATGTGACGGTGTTTAATTTGCACTTTTTTTATATTACAGCAACAGCTTGCACAACTACAAAAAGAAAAGTCAGAAATACTGAAGAATTTAGCTCTATATTACTTCACCTTTGTGGACGTTATGGAATTTAAGGTATGAGTGCAGCCCCACTCTGTTGACCTCAGTTGCAGTGAATTAGATGCAGTTTAAGTTAGATGGTTTATGAACTATTTATTCTACCTTTGTTTCATAAGACACCGTGAATGTCGTTCTCATTTTTATACTTGCATAATTTGTATATGTGACAATGGTATGTTAGTACAGGTGCATCTCAATAAAATAGAATGTCGTGGAAAAGTTCATTTATTTCAGTAATTCAACTCAAATTGTGAAACTCGTGTATTAAATAAATTCTATGCACACACTGAAGTAATTTAAGTCTTTGGTTTTTTTAATTGTGATGATTTTGGCTCACAGTTAACAAAAACCCACCAATTCACTATCTCAACAAATTAGAATATGGTGACATGCCAATCAGCTAATCAACTCAAAACACCTGCAAAGGTTTCCTGAGCCTTCAAAATGGTCTCTCAGTTTGGTTCACTAGGCTACACAATCATGGGGAAGACTGCTGATCTGACAGTTGTCCAGAAGACAATCATTGACACCCTTCACAAGGAGGGTAAGCCACAAACATTCATTGACAAAGAAGCTGGCTGTTCACAGAGTGCGGTATCCAAGCATGTTAACAGAAAGTTGAGAGGAAGGAAAAAGTGTGGAAGAAAAAGATGCACAAACAAC